GTACCCTTTGTCTTTAGTAGGAAAGTATCCCCCATAACAGTACATAGGACCCTTTGGGAAGCCCTAAACCCTAAACCCTAACTAACCCGAAGCCCTAAATCCTAAACCCACAAGCACATGCAGTCATTTCCGTGGCGATGTCTCGAGTTTCGCGACCCTGCGGTGGTGCTTGGGATCTCTGACTCAGCCAGACAGGCTATTTGGGGTTCCTTGAAGGGTTGCTTTACGGAATAGGGCTGAACAGGGTTTAGCGTTTCTTTGTCTAAGGGCCCTTTTCTGTCTGCACGAGGTGGGAGTTTGGGGCGCAGGGTTTAGGGTGTAGGATTTAGGGCTTAATAAAGTATAGGGGCCTCAATAACTCGAGAGAGGTATTGGGGTCTCCGGTGTCGTCTCATCCTCCGAACTTCACACTCAGAGCTGACAAAAGCGCTGCAAGATGTCGGTTAATTCGCTGAAAGATGCCCTTCAAGGACGGAATCGGGTGGTTGTCAAAATTGGGTCCTTATTATAATACGGCACCTAATATTTAGGGTACCCCAAAAGGGACCCTAATTTTTGACAACTACCCACATGCAAGTGACGAGTTGAAGTGGCACACCTCGAGCTCTCACCACCTGCAAGTTATACAGCTCCGGCCATGGTCGGGAAAAGCGGCGATGATGGTTTTGATCTTTGGAGGCCCACTGAAACAGCTACAAGTAGGGCAGACTTCTCTTCAACCAGTGGTCTGTAAAGTGTTCAGAAGGGTTCCTCTAGGGTTCCATAGGGGTCCTTCCGGGTTTTGTAAGACGGGGCTCGGGGTCACGAAGCACCCCCCACATCAAAACCAGCATCTGATTCAAACCGTGAGTACATGGGAAAACGGAGTCCAGTACTTCTCGCAGCAGAAGCGAGCCGATATGCTGTCTTTCGGGGCTGAGTACCCTGGCCCAAACTCACAAGAGCTTAACTATAGTTGGATTCTATATGCTACGGAAGGCTAAGGCTTACCTACCCAGCCCCCATGTCTCTGGCACACTCTTGGCTATCGAATCGAATGTGGAACTGATGAAGCTAACGGAAGCGACTAGTGCTGATGCAGGGCTGCGAGCTACGCTACGAGCCTCAGTGTAAGTGTTTAGGGTTTAGGGTTTAGGGTGTAGGGTGCAATGTTTAAGTCTTGGCCCACATGGCTGACGTCAACGTCGCATACAATGGAGTGTGCAGTTCATTTAGCCTCAATCTGTCCGACACCACTGGCTCAAATGTACAGAATTTGCCATGCCGGTGGCAGGATCTCCCACATCTGGATTCCCTCCGTATCAATATCCGTCTGACCTGTCTAGTCTCAGAATGTATGCTTGCTTCTTTCTTACATCATATTTTACGGGAGACCTGGACGGCGAACTTGAATCGCCGCATTGGCGGATGCTTCACGGCTGTGCAGGTTGGTATGTGCGGATCTTACGCAGGTGCTTGGTAAGTTATAACTCTGCAAGTATACATGGGAACTACAAGGAGGTACTGAATAACTTTCAGTCTTGTTATTAAATATGTCAATGATGGTGATGATGATGATGTTGATGATGATGATGATGGTAATGGTGATCGGCTTCACTATTCTGAACATCAATCTTATCATTGTAAATATGGATACTTGTATTATGTTTCTATGACTATTCGTGTTCATAGTCATAGCAATAATACAAAGAATAATATGAATACGGTTACACGTGTAACCGCATTGCGCTCATACTACTGCAGTTCCTGGATGACCACATGTCGTTTAAAAGGATTGCATTATCTTTTCGGAAAAAGAGTTTCTTGAAAAGCCACGTGTGCCATGTGACTTAGCTTAAGTCACATTTCCCCACAGGGCACATTTCGTTGGTGCTAGAGATACCACATGAGATGATCGAGATACGAACGCAGAGGACTGATGTATCGTTGACCCTATGCACCCTTGTAGGCTTGCATATAGTCATGAGGTGCTTTTGCGCGGCGTGGCGGAAAAGAAAAAAACGAGCACGGGTTTTGCATCCCACTAGTGGATTCAAAATTCCCGTTCTTGTGACTATATAAAAAGATACAGGTGATGGGACTATCGTTATATATGTGCCATGTATCAAATATTCACCCATATCGTAGGTAGTGAGAAATCGACAATATCATGTTCGTCCATGTATATATATATATACACACACACTTAAATTGGACCTGCGATGCTTCGCAAACAAGATCTGACGATCATCAGGTGTTGCGCATGTAAGTAAACTCTCTATAAGAATCATATATTGCGGCCCCAATGAAAGTTCCTTAACCGTTGTCCAGGTAGCAGATGCCCTGTAAAGATCAAGCAGCCTGGTGCTGCGATTGAGCAGTGTTCTGAACTAAATCAATGCTGTTCTTAAGATCAGCCAGATCAGGTATGAAGCTGTGTAAGTACATCCAATAAGTGCATGGTTCTCGCGCCACAGTATTTGAGACATTGTGGTTTGCAAGCAGATGATCCAATTATCAATCGTGGGTAGAGTCTTGAAGTTGATAGCCCTACAATAGTGGACTGTGGTCCGAATGCTTGCAGGTCGATGCGGGCAGGAAGTTGGGCTGACTCGTTAACCTGGTCGTTTTGGCGACTGTTCCATGAAACAAGATCGAAGGTTTAGAAGTAACTAAATTGTACCATGTCGAGGGTTCAAGCGATTACGGATGCTTTAGCACGGCCTGTCGGCAACTGTGTTGTCATGCCTGCCCAATGTCAATGGAAGTGCTGTGCATAAACGGTTCAAACTTCATCCATGAGTGCAGTCGACGTGTCACTGCTGTACGTTGTTGACAGGTCTTGCATATGCAGCATAAAGTACTGCTCGCAAGCACATCGAGCTTGGATTGCAGAGCAGGGGTGTCGCCTCGACATACATCGAGCGAAGTAATGCAAGCCCACACGTGAAGTTGCACAGCTTGCAGCTTCCGGTAGCAACAGTGACTCATAGAAGATGTTTTCACACATGTGTGCGCGATCGTTGTGTGGCGATGTGTGGCCATGGAGAGATGTTGAGCTTGAGGCCGGGGCCGTTTTTGCTGATCGATGAAGCTTCCCATAAAATCAAGAAGCGAAGTCTGCTGTTGAGATCCGGCATATAGCTCTAGAGCAGGCTATGAGCTGGGCGCATGCGGGTACGATAGACTCCCGGACGCATGGCAGTGGGCCCAGCATCTGTTCTCGAGTATGGATATATGGGGTTTTGTGTGTGTGGGTGTGTGGGTGTGTTTGTCGGTGCCGATAGCCGGGACGAGGGGTTCATAGAATTAATATATAGATATGCCCGTGATAGTTTCTAGTTGTTATGGGATGAAGGTTTGTAGCTTGTTCTGATCCAAATTATTGTTTGGTCCGAAGGGTTCGAGGCTCCCATATATATATATATATCCAAATCATATCGGGCTTTGTGCAAGTACAGTATCACCATCAGGTGTCACTCACTAAGCCTCCATAGAATCGTACCAGTCCCCGTCATGCAGTTGGATATTTGTGTAAAAGCCAAGCGTTGCAAACAGCCGGCAGGGTGGGTAAAATGTTTGAGATGTTCTGCTCGCCGAGGTGAAGACTGGGCGATCTACTCTGGCGAGATTATTCAATGAAGGTGCGACCGCCCGCCCCGCCCTTTTGTATGTAGTTCGTGCTTGGAGTTTGTGCTGTGGATCGGACAGCTTCGATTGCGCTGTGTGACAGTGCCTGCGCTAGCACATTTGCTCTGATGTCGCCGTAGCATTTTGCTTGGTTTCGAGTGACAGATGAAGTTGGAAAGTTTCATCCGGATGTATCAGCATAATCTTTCGAGCATGTTTGGATTGAATAGTGCTGGACGGTACATCGGAACTTCTTTCGGATATCAAGGTCATTTCGCACTGTGCAATTGACATTCTCGGGCCGACTTTTCTCCGTAGTTTGTGCTGGGACCTAGGGGCTCCGCGACCAGTGTGTGAAGGCCATGTCGAAGCTTCCTTCAGACTTTGAGGAAGCTCCGCTCGAGTTCGAGCCCGAAGCTGTAGAAATCTCTTCAGCTTTACAAAAGGAGGATTCAATTCAGCACGAGCCTTGTCCCTCAATTGGTTTACTGATAATCTCGATATTTTCGGACCTTGCAATTCAGCATGCTCAACACTGATAGCATCTGAAGCTTGAGCCGCTTTGAGCCAAATGTTTGTTGAATTATCCTAAACCCAAATCCATAACCCGAAGCCCCTGGCCGAACCCCTAAGCCCTAGGACCCGTCGAAATAGTGTTAGACCGTCAGAATATGTTTTGCATGTCCTGCTGGTTGTATGCGGGTTTTCGGTGGGGTCCGGTCTTCTACGTATTAATACAGAGGTTTTCGCTATGACAGTTATTGGAGATCTGACCATTATTGTTCGGACATAGTTGTGGGGTGACTATTCAACTATTTAGGTGGGCTCCTATATCTGCTGCAAGTCCTTGGCGTCGGGTGTCACCTAGTTTTAAAGTACTCGCTGCTGATGGCAATATGTTGGGGTCCTAAAACTCGAAAACTTGAAATGCAGGTGTCATTGGCTAGTTGAGCGTAACCATGCTAATCGAGAACAGACCTTCAAACTTTAGTGGGCCAACATTGTACCTGTATGGGTGCGCGTAACACTAGGCAATTCTGAACCTATCTAACTGCGATTTATGTTTTGAGTGAGTGACTGCCAAGATACTGCAAGGACCTCCAAGCCCCAAGCAAATGTTAGGCACAAAGCCCGATACAGAACAGTTTAGCGACTTACACCTTAATGTTCTAAAGCCAGAAGAGTCTCAATCTCTACTCGGGGGTTGTAAATATTAAACAACAAAGATAGCGAGGAATTGAGTTACGGTCGGGGTACTTGCTGTAGATCGACTATGCTGGGTGAGTGAAGGGTGTTCGACACAAGCCGGGACTGAGCTTCTAGGTTACATTTTCATTCCATTAAACCCGTACTAGCCTTAATCACTTTGTACCCCTAATTGACCAGCTAAGATGGGCTTCAACCTCTTGATCGACAGAAGTGGGAAACTTCTGATGAAAAAGAATGCGGTCTGCAGGAAGGACCTGGTTATCAACAACACAGTGCCACGACTTAACCTTTTCGGTATCAAATACGAGTTCCGGGGTTGAGGTGTGCTGGAGTCGGGGTGTTGTTTGCTGCGGCTTCTGCTGCAGCTGGCCAGGTTGTCGCAACAGTGATGAAGGCCTCCGGCAAGACTCGTCGCAGATATTCAGCCCACATCTTTGCGCATGCAATTCTTCATTGGTATTCGACAACGAAGCAAATGCCTAGGGGAATAAGCCCCAATTGTGCCTCGGTCCGTGACTGGGCGTTGCGTACTGGGACAGCCTTGCGGAAGCTTGTGTCCTTGCTGATGCATGAGCTGACTTTTTGGTGCTAGGATACTTTATTCCTTGGGAGCATTGACTTCAATGGTTTGCACAACCTAGGCTACCAAACTGAAGGAGCTTTGCAGACGCACTGACAAGTCACATGACAGGGCACTCTGTGAGCTGAAAGCGGAAGTTCTGCCGTACCTCCCTCCAAAGAGGAAAAGCAAGAAGCAGGATCCTTGACGATGACCAGTATTGTTACTCGAAGTCTTGATGTATGCAGATATGAATATACGGTAGAACCCCAGCTCTAATTACCTACACTACCAAACCCTCGCGCTACTGAACCCTGAACGTGAACCTTATAAACCCTATGTCCCTGTTGCTTCCAGGAGCACGCCGACGATTCCGAGGGCTCCGATGCCTCGGAAGTGTCCTCCGAAGTGGAGTCCGATGATGAGGACGGTGGGCTCTCCAGCCAGGTCGAAGTAGAAAGCCTGAGAAGATTGAGTAGCTTGGAAAGTGCAACCACTCCGGATTCTGGGCTGGCATTGATTCGGCTTGCATGTGGGTACACCTACAATGGACTCCGCTTGGACCTGATCACGTAACCTAAAACTGAGGCTCCAAGAAGAAAGGCCCTGTCTGATGTGGAAACCCCACCAGACAAGCTGGCCCAGCTCAAGAAGCTCGGCGGGTTACAGGGGTATAGGGTGTTGGATTAAGGGCAAAGTACGGTCATGAGGTGCGCATAAGAACAGAAAAAACACAACATAAATCCAAAATACATCCCCTTCCTAAGGAGAATCGTTGCTGGTGTGAAGGCTCCGGTGGCCGAGCCGAAGGATCGCTTGTCGGCAGTGGTGGCCAAGTTGCAGGCTGCCAGGACTCCAGCAGAGCCCTGCAACAAGTTTGTTTTGCCACAGCAAGCATCTCGTCTCAATATCCGGTAGCTTGGTCAGTGCACTACAAGTCTTCTTGAAATCAGCATATTGTCCTATATCGGTTCTGGTATTGCAAGGTCTTGGAGAGTCTGCAGAAATTGACGACACAGCCTACGCCCTTTCTTCCAAAGCTGCAGCGCCTAGACTCAGGGATTATAGCAGTTATTGCTGCTGCCAGCTCTTTTTGTTTTGGGTTCTACTATTCGACAGTGAGGTACAAGAATCAGGAATGCGACAGTGCAGACGAGGACGACGAGTTAGCTGATACTGGCTCTTCCAAGAAACCGAAAGGCAAGCCTAAGAAGCGCAAGTGCAAGAAGGCAAAGGCGAAGAAACCGAGCAAGGCTAGAAGCAGCAGCAGCGAAGGGAAAGCAAAATGCCCGACAGATGGCAGCTGCAAGTACCAGCCTGGATCCTTCAGGCAGGAGCGCATTGACTTCATTCACAGAACCATGGAAGAGAAGAACATCAAGTTTTTTGAAGCAGCTAAGTATTGGCTTCCTAGTGCACACCGGGCTGCTTTGTTGGATGGTCTACCGAAATCGGAGCTCCAACGGAGGCGGTTTGTGCCTGCCATGAACCCTAGGTCAAAGAAGATCCCGAAAACAGGGCCCAAGCCAGCTTGAGAGTCACTGGTCCCAATATCATCGAATCCCAAGCCCAAAGAGAATCAAGATTGAGACGAGTGGCTGCTGGAGGCCCTATACCAAGGTCTGATGTCCCAGCATTAATTCCACCTGTGCAAATTCTGATTGTTTGTCAAGGCTTAGCTGTGGAATTGTGCCACTCCTACGCCTGTAGCTGCATTTAATCATGTTGGCTGCGTGAAGCAGCTTCAAATGCTGTGACCCGAAGCTGAGATCGAGTCTGCATGCATGCAAGAGAACGTCCCGCTTGCAAGCTTCATTATGTGATATGTGTAGTGAGTACTGGTGTGTCTGCGTGTGTGTGTGTGTGTGTGTGCCGGTGCTCGCATAGGCCTATGTGTTTTCACGCATGTTTGCTGTAGCCAGTCGCCTTAAAACTTCTGTTGCACGCTGCCTACAGCTGTTCAAGTTTTTTTGGGGACCAGGCTTCTTGTAGGAAGGTTTTGGGCCTGTGACTTTGTTCTTCAACATGGTTGTGGCAGAGCTTTTGCAGTGGGGAGCTCCGGTGCCCCTGGTGCTACTTTGCGTCATGCTGAGCTTCCACCCACGTCTTCATCACAAGCAGGACAGGGATAGGTTTAAGTTTCACGACTCTCGACAGAATCGGCCCTGTAATTACAAGCCTTCGCAGGATTTCGACTTCGTGGAGCTCTTCTGTGGAGACGCAGAAGTCAGCAGCAAGCTCCGTCAGGACATCCTGTAGAAGTTCTTTCGGAGTTGGTATGTTGTTTGCATGGCTACTGATATTTCAGGATGGCTTGGATGGAGCTTCGTTGGATCTTACGACAAACCCTTACAGATTCGACCTCACCGGGGATGTAGGGTTTGCTCTGGCGCTGAATGCAATCCTTCGTTTGCGGCCTGGTGGTGTGGTTGTTATGGGGCTGTGCTGCGAAAGCTTCTCCATAATGTGCCTTGATTTCAATGACGGATGAGGTTTCTGAAAGGAAGGTAGCAGGTATATAGAGTGTGTTCTGTTGTATACACATTTGTGCTCCACTCCAACGAACTTAGGAGCCGAGCTGTATCTGGACGCACGGTGATTCACCCTGATGGCAATGTTGGGTACCCTTTTGTGGCAAAGGGGAACTTACTTCTGTGTAGGGGCTTACTGCTCCTCCTGGTTGCTGCTAGCAGGGGTTGTCGTTTCCTGTTGGAACAGCCGGGCCAATCATGCCTCTCCTTACACCGTAGATGGCAATGGTTTGTGGACCGAGTCTCTGTTGCCTTCTTGCATCTTAGAACCGTGGAGATTCGGGCATTTCGAACTAGACTAGGGTTTCACTTGGATTTGCGAAGGTGCGATTTCTATCCAAGCTTTAAGCTCATGTTTGGGAGTTTTCGAATCCTATATCTGAGGTTTTTCGTGGCAGCTGGTACATGGGCAAATTCGGGGGCCCCACTGCAAAGCGCCATATGGGGTGGAGCAATGATGAAGGGTTCATGAAGGATCTCATGGCCAGAGGGGGCTACATGAATGCTGAAGAGCGCCGAGAAATCGCTGCTTCTCTTGTCACGAGGGGCACCAGTAAACGGGGCATGCCCACTTTCACTGGAGCAAAGCAACTCAAGAAGAGTCAGATTCTAGTCCGCATCGAAGCTATGATGGGTCTTGTACAACTGAAAGGGCTTCCACGTAGAATTGTGGTCAACCCGAGGAGATACACGGCTACCTTCGGCCACAACATCGTGGACATCTTTCGCAAAAGGCAAGGAGCTACTTTCCTGCATCCGGATTAGCGCATATTATGTTCATGACGGCCTCACGCAGCTCAATCATGTCACCCTTCTCTAAATGACTTAGGTGGATCTTCCCGGTCCCAAAGAGCCTTTGCAGATTGATTGGGGCCGATCTGATTATGAGCTGTTTTGTTTGCACCTGCCTTCAATCCGGGATGATACTTGTGCAGATGCTGCTTGCTTTAATTCAGAGTTTGCTGGTGGAGTGTTTGGAATCGTGGGGGTGCAAAAATGCTTGTTTCATACCTATGTATGTAGACTCACTGCTGCTAGTGAGTGTGGAACAAAGGCAAACCTGGCCTCAGTGATTCGCTATGTTGGTGGATGCAGCGATCTTTCTTTTCCTGGACAATGGGATTCTTGGCGTCAGTGTGTTCAGTTGTAGAATCTGTTCCAAGCATAGCTTCCGAAGATGTACTTCTCCGAAGGCCCTCAAGTTTACCCGCTTACCCTAAAGATGCTCCCTAACAACTTCCCTTCCCAGTGCTCCGAAAATCCCAATAACAACTCTGCCTCCTGATCTCGAGCATGTGCGGTGCCCTAAACCTTACATGCTTCCACCCTAATGCTACAACTGATCCTCAGTATCAGGCTCAGGGGCACTGGCTTAAAGACTATATTTTTAAAGTTCATCTACTGGAACTCATACAATATCCTGCCAAAGAATCCCAAGCTGGCCTTGTAGCGACAGGGGGTTGCACCCAATCCAAAATCACATCCTTAACGAGAGGAGCAAAATTTTGAGCATTGTCTAGGCTTCGGTCGTGATTTCTCCACTCGGCTGGCCCACTACGAAAATCTACATCTTGGGACACTATACTAGACTAGACTAGTTGAATAGTTATAGTGGTTTCAGTTATAGCTTGGGTATCTAATGAGTGGTTGCCCTCACTGCCCTTGAATCCTAGGAACCACTGCTGCTGAAGATTCGCCAGCAACCTGCCTCCATTATATAGGTTCGATTGTGGCAAAGCAACTGAAACAGCACCCCATTAAATTCAAGAGTCCCAGGCAGCTGCTGAAGGACCACGGTGGTCCAGAAAAGATGGCCGACATGTTGGCCCGAGTATGCACCTCTTCGGCTGCATTGCTGTAGAATGGTGGTTTGGAAGGCTTTGACTATATCCAGGGTTTTAGATTCTTAGATGGATGTTACTGCACTAGTTGAAGCTTAGACTGTTTCCTAATGCAATATGCAGCTGAATGATGATTCCACATGTACAGATGACTTAGCCCTACTATAGTACCAGCCAGGGACACTGCGTGAAATTGCGTGCAATGCGGTTTATCCAGCGTTCACGGCCAGCTAAAAAGCGTGAACGGCGTGAATCGTGACTTTGCAATAGTTTACAAACCGAATAGGGTTTAAATCGATTCCTGGCTTAATTCATGCTAATTAATACCAAGGCAGACAGCTGTGGCAGGATCGACCAAGCGCAGCAAAAGTGCGTGTTCGAGCTTTAGAATCATGCTGTGGGCCCTAAAATTATAATGTGTGAAAACCATCGCCGTGAAGCCCGTGAAGCCAAGCACCCGCGTGAAAATGAGATCGAACCAGAACCGTGTGCCGTGAATACACCGTGAAACTCGTGAACGGCCCAGTGCCTCAGTCCTAATGTACAAAGCACCGCCCGTGAAACAGCCGTGGAATTCGTGAACTGTCTTAAACCACCGAACCGTGAAAACCGTGAATCGTGAACGCCCTGAAACCGTGAACTCTGTGAAGCCTGCAATAGCTTTGGTTTCGTGATTCTATGCCTAAATCAAGGAAAGATGTGAATGCTCTCTGCCTCTGCAATCCTGGAATCCTCGATTCTTTCTTATATCCCACAGATCACATGGCTGTGTCATTGTGCAGTGTGCCGGGCATATATTTATATGTGCTGGTGCGGCTTCATCTGTAGAAGATCTGAGGTTTCACTGTAGTGCCAGCTAGGTTCTTTGAGCACCAGACCAGGATCTGGTGCTTGTGTCGATGGCGCCCGCTCAGAGCAAGGCGTCTGAGGATGCCAAGAGCCGCAGCAAGCAGCTTCGTGCCGAGTTTGCTCGTGGCAATGCCATGAGAAAGCAAGCAAAGGAAACTGGTACAATGGAGTATGACTTGTCAACTCCCTTGTTGGATGATGGCTCATGCACCATTACACTGGGTAGTCTTATGGAGTCAGAGAACCTTCAGTATGAAGAAGCTGTTGAGGTCATGAAACAATTCCGTGCAGAGGCTGAGCCTGAAGGGGGTCGCTGGGAGTTGCCGAAGCTGCCAGCATCATCGTCCAAGGCCAAGAAGCCTGGCAAAACGGTGGCATCTGAGGCTTCTGTTGTTGCAGCGAGCGACGCTACAAAATCCGAAGATGCAGTACCTGCTTCTGCTGGTAAGAAGCGCAAAGGCAGCGAAGCAGCCAATGATTGCAGCGAAAAAAAACCGGAGAATCCAAAGCCTGCAGCCAAAGGGAAAGCAAAAGCCAAGGGTAAAGCTAAGGCCACACCTGCCCCACCCATGGACGATCCAAAAGAGCCTGAGGAATGCCCTGAACCAGCCCTCCCGAAGAAAAAGAAAACAAAGCAGGCTGAGGAGCCAGCAGCAAGCAGCGCAAAACCTAGCAACAAGAAACGAGCCAAGCAGGAAGCAGCAAAAGCGGAGAAAACCCGCGAGCCCACCCCCGAGCCCACCCCCGAGCCCACCCCCGAGCCCACCCCCGAGCCGACCCCGGAGCCCACCTCGGAGCCAGTGTCAGTGCGCAAGAAGAAAGTGAAGAAAGGTAAGAAGGCTAAGTCATCGAAACTTCGCAGGAGCCAGGCCAAGGAGGACTTCGAAGAGGCCGACCCCGAGTGGGAGGAGGAAGGGGCCCCAGCTGCAGATCCGTCTGCAGACGATGTCCAAGCAATGATCGCGGAAATCGATGAGCAAATCAGCCAGCCCGAGCCCGAAGAGGAGGGTGGGAAAAAAGCACCTAAGTCCCCCCCACCAGTGGTGAAACGCCGGCGCATGGCCAAGGGACCTCCCACCGAGCCTCCTACGAGCCCCGCCCCCGAAGCCAAGTCCAAAGCGTGGCCCCACGATCGCCAACCCCTGAACCGTGAAGAAGCTGCCCTGCACGGGGGATGGTGTCTTGTCGAACTTTAACTGTATCTTTGTAATGGCATAGTCTACTATAGAAGAACTAAATGACTAGAAATACTCCTTGGGACTATTTCTTATATGTTTCGGTGTAGCTACTACTTGAAACCTTCAAAATATGATCGTATAGTAAATTATTAAGACTTTCCCCATGCTTATAACCGTAACTAAACCTCAGGTCCTGCCTCTCTCTCGAGCTTGGGGAGAAGCAGCTGGAGATGGAGAACACCGGGCCGGACTACGACGACACCGTTGTCAATGGGTCCTCGGTTACTGAGATTCTTGAGTCGTTACCTGTATGATTCAGCTTGCCTGGGCAATTGCTGTGTTCCAACGTATGTCGAGATCTGCTCCAAGCCAGCTGCTGTATATTAGTGCTACCCTACATGTATTAGACTAAGGTTGGGGGCTTCGGCTTCGCAAGTCAGCAACAACAATGCAGATTACCATCAGATCTTGGCCCTTGTGGACAAGCTCCAGTCGCAGCTGCTCCAGCAGCAGCAACGTCGGGATGCTGAGGCCAAGGAGAAAGATGATGCTGCTGCGTTGGCAGCGATCGAGGACAAGCGAGACCTCGTCGATGATGACCTCGATGGGGAGCCAGCTCAGGATGATGATATGGAGGCCCAGGCGGAGGCTGAGATGCTAGAGGGTGTTGAGAGCGAAGTTTCTTCTAGGAGAGAAGAAGAGGCAACAAATGCAGAGAAGAAGGCTGCAGATCCACCCCGGGCCGTGGCCACCCCAGCTCGCAACTCTGCCTCTCCCGACACCCTGGCTGTGCTACAGAGGCTGCACTCATCAAGAGATGTGACGAAGCCAGAAGCTGCAACGAAGCCAGAAGCTGCAACTGCTGCAGTGCCCTCTACATCAGGACCCTCCTCGGCAGGACCCACACAAGCAGGAGCGGCGCCTCCAGCAGGAAGCGAGACCATCAACTCTTCCACGCACAAGAAAGAGTACATGAGGCTCGTTCCTGGGTTGCAAATAGATTCGGTCTGCTGCAGGACAAGCGAGCTTTGAAAACATTTGTGTTTCGTGTTTCATATTCGCTAAGAAGCGGCTTGTGGACAATGGCACGGTGACCGCTACGGCTTACCCCAGCATGCACTCGCTGGCAAATGGCACCATGAAGGAGTGCTAGCTACATGTATCCATTCATGTGTGCATGCAGGCTACACGGTTATTGGGGTTATGGAAGTTTTTCGGCCAGGAGCGTGCTGAGCTCTTGAAGCGATGGGTGCAAGCGGGAGAGAACCTACAATCGACCGAGCACTCGATTATCTCATCTCGGAAATCCAACCTCAACACCAAGCGCAAGCTCACTCTTGTGAGCGTAAAAGACATGGGCAAGCCCCCTCACTCCTTCTCGGAGTTACCTGGATTGAAACTTATACCTGCAACCTTGCTCCCTGCAGTCAATATGTACAAGAACCCATACACCCTACATTTACTCGCTCAGGAAAAAAATCGCGTATATTATTGCAAATCAGCAAGGTGTCGAAGCAGCTCGTTTGCAAATTGATTGCCAGATTTGCCAGCTGATGATTCCCCCGGTGCCTTAGGACAGAGACTGCCCAGGGGTTGTCGAAGAGACAAAGTACTGGGTGACCACGGAAGAATCCAAGACCGACACTGTCGACATTGGGCGGGGATCAGAACTCTATCTAGCTTAGACCTAGTACGCTAATCCTAAACACCAGCTTTCGCTGGAGGTGCGAGGAGCGGATGAATATCCAGGCGACTCCCACAAGTGCCAATGCCTACAACATCCTGGCTGGCCCCACGACCCCCGGCATGCTAGAACGTCCGAGGACTTCGGCTCCTATGCCTTTGTCGGGCGATGTTCTCCGAGCGTATGATGGCTACCGTTCCAGTTTGGCAGCTGCAGCGGGGTTGGAAGGTGATTCGGCTGTGCAGTGATTGTGAAAGATCGGTCTGCGATGTGGGTTTCTCAATTAACTGCCTAATCGTGAAGCCAAGGCAACCCAGGAGGCAATCCAGGCCAGAGCGCACGGTCCGTGGCCGGATCTCGTCGTTCCGGAAGAGGGGCGGCGCCTGCCAAGAAGATCCCGCTGAACGAGGAGCACTTCCGAACCGACCAGGACAAGCACGACAAGTGGAGCTTTTCGCTTGCATTAACAGTGTCTGCCGGCAAACCCTAAACTATCTATCTAGCAACTCCTGCCCCGAGGTGCGGAAATCAAACGTGAGCTGGCTTCGCTGTCCAGCCTTCTGATCGATATCCCCCAGGACGATGAGCTCAAGCAGGACCTTGATCGGTACAACAAGCGCTTGAAAGGGCTGGCTCTAAAGACTCCTGATTGCATCTAACTAAGTCTATAACCCAACCTCGTATTGGCCTCTAATTTTGGCGGCTCTCGAATCCTAGGTTCAAGGGTGCCACAACAGATGCCGAGATGGAGCCGATCTGTAGTGCTGTCTGGCAGGCGGTGACTCAGACCGCAACTACTTAAGGGTTTCATGCATGAACTAATAACTAATCGTAATCGGACAAGCTTTTAGATGCTCCTGTAACCTAGGTGACCGAGCTCAAGGTCTTGAAAGGCAAAGCCAAGGGGCTGATCTCAGAGCTGAAGAAGAGGTGAATGCAAGTCGGATGCAGTACCGAGTTATCTAGAGTCAAAGGCGTCTTTGGTTTGTGCCTTTGATTAAGACTACAGTAGGTTTGTGTGTACAGATATAGGTGAGCATCCGAGCTTGCAGAGGGTTCTACTCTTGCCGAGAGATGGCAAGAGCCGCTTCGGAACACGGGATGGCGTGACCTATCCGTGCCTGCACCATGCAAATGTCTGGTGCCTTTTGTTTGGCTTCGGCTCATGATGAGCTCACTTGTGCATCAATCCAATCTTATCTGAAATTCAGCGATGAATGCTATAGTGCTGGAAGGGGACCGTGCTGGCACAAGGAGCAAAACCCACAAGTTCCCCAAACCTGCTGCCATCACTAAACTTACCCCCAAGCTCTTAATCCAAACCTCCAAAACCCTTCGCAGGCTCGGAGCTCGCTGCGTCGACGGAAGGCAGGCTGGACTCGAAGAGCCTCATTCAGTTTAAGACTTACTGCTTTGGGATGTAATGTTGTTGGGTCCAATTTGGATTGTAAGGTTAGGGGGTTCTAAACCTCAAAATAACCGCTGCCCCAAGTCCCTTATAAGCTTTGAGTCCTGAACCTAGACTCTACCCCGAGCTAAGCCCTAAACCCCACAGTACAGCATTCAACATAAGCCATCGCGAGACACGATTGTCATTTGCGATACCATGCACCAGCAAAGGATAGCCGAAGCTGTCTGCACGGGCCAATCGTCGATCACTTTGGCATGTGAGCTGGGAGTTTGGACTTATATTAACAGTTCTTTGTTTTACCATCTAATATTCTTCGGGTGAAGATGGGGATCCTATATAGGGAGGTGCCGATCAAAATGCTGCTGAGGTGACATTTATGGTAGCCACACTCTTGCTGGACACAAGACGAGGTCTTTACGAGAATCAGAATTCCACCGACGATTACAAACCACTGGCAGTGCTCATCCGTTTGCCATCTCATGGAGGAACATACCGATTGTGGAAGAGTCGCCATCAACTGGAGAAAATGTCATGGTTGTTAAACCCTGGCCTGTCATCCTCCCAAGTAGCATAGCAACTTGACATCATTAGTCAAAGCACGCTCAGTTCGTTTTTGCAATACTATCCAACTAAGTTGATTGCTATTTGGGGCTACACTTAGGCGAGGACACTGCTATCAACTGGTTATGGTGATTTCCTGGGACCACGCGAGCTTTTGCGCTCATACTGGGCACAAATGGCCGAGAAGCTGGAGGTCATGCCGCCGGAATCCCGGTGGGCCACCACAATTCCTTACTGTCTCTGGGGCGATGAGGGTACACTTAAAAATTCTGGTTCCTGGATGTTTGGGACGGTGTGCCCCGGCGTTACCAAGCTGTTCTGCGATTTTGGGAACTAGAGCCGTTTAATGATAGGGTTGGGGTAATATAAGTTTTGCGGTATAAGATATGCTAAGGATGTTCGACTTATCACCTTGCAGAACCAACAGCAGGGCTTCCAGGTATCTTATGTACTCTCTTCCGGCGAAGCAGTACTATTTCGATGATGACGATGACCATACCAATGCTACTTTGCAGTGTATGCTGGGAGAAATCGTTGCCGACCTCAATCAGCTGTCTTCGTCCGGACTCGAAGCTGATGGGGAGGCCCGTGTAGCGGTGTACGCACTAGACCCTAAGCCAAATCCCAAACTCGTTTAAAACCACGTAGATGCTCGGTTCTTGATTTACTTCGACCGGTTATTGCTTGTGCAGGTACTGCACTTCCATTGTGTGGCATACAAAGGCGACATGAAATTTCTTGTGCAATCCCTCAACTTGCAACGGAATGCTGGAAAGGAACAGGCCGGGCTCTAAAGATGGTTCATGTGTAGGTATAGGGCTTATAGGTTTAGGGTTTAGGGTTGGGGGTTTGGAAATTTGGTGTTTAGGGTTTAGTGTTACTTTGCCGACCCTACGCAGATTTGTTTTCGCTGCGCAGCTTCTAAAGGGAATGATGATTTCCAATGTGTATACACCGACACCAGCGATTCTGCGAAATGGCGAGATGAGAATGTGGGTCCCATGTGGACCACCCCACCTTCCATGGCTGCTTTGCATGAGTTCCATGATCAGTTCATTGCATTCGACCTATTACATGTACTACACCTTGGGATCATGAGAGATGTGGTGGGGACTGGTTTCAAGCTGATATGTCGGAACCGGGAGTATTACTCCGCCAGCAACATTGACAAACGCCTGCACCAACTTACAGCAGACCTCAAACATTGGTGCCGAACCAACGGACACACTTTGAGCTTGACGAAGATCCACAAAGCAACTCTACTTTGGAGAGGAGACATGTGTCCGGAGCTGAAAGCCAAGGGGGCAGATGCCTTAGTGTGCCTCAGGTTTTTGAGCTATAAGCTCCAACAACAACCACCAAGCAGCTACCCGGGCATTGTGGCTTGTGTCTGGTTTGCTGAACAGTTTATTGGCTGCTTGGCGCATGGCTCTCTTTTCCTGACAGAAGAAGAGAGCGAAACTGCCCATATTACAGGTTTGGCATTTATTCGATCGTACCTGGCCCTGGCACAGGAAAGCTTGATGGCATCCGAATTGTTCTTCAAGACCCGTCCGAAGTTGCATTTTTTGCTTCACCTCGTGGAGGACATGAAAGCCAAAACATGTATCCGCAATCCGTTCTATGACGCGACGTTCGTCGACGAAGATTGGGTTAAACACGCGCTTGCCCTCAAGAAACGCATGTCATTCAGGACCTGCTCTCTCAATATTCTAAAACGGTTCGCTGTGATGAACAAAGCCACGCTGAATGCCCTGCGAGAAAATATTCGGCCGAGTCTCGATGTCGCAGCTGCTGCCGTGTGCGGCTGCTGCTTGTGGAGAGAGTGGGAGAGCAGGGGAGTTTCGGGCTTTAGACTTTAGCCCTCTTTCCTATGACATGAAGCCCCCTGCCTACTTAATAATTTTTGAAACCTAGAAGGTTACAGGGTGCTTGTGCCTCGGGTTCTTCCTGCTTTCTGGAAATCCTAGAATAAACCCTAATGCCGAAACCGAGAAAACCCGAATCCTAAACATGTAGACCTTCAGCTTTACTTCCCTATTTGAAGAGCCCATAACCTTAATGAACCCCTGCAGGTCATCCTACAATTAAGTCGATGCCCTCCAATATCATGACCAAGTTTTTTCTAAGTAGGCCTACTCGTGTTCCTAGATTAACCGTTTGAATGAATAAATAGATATATCCCTAGCTCTACGTATACATGTACGTGCATATATGCACGATGGATACATCCGTACCAGTGTAACCACAGTGCCCATAGACCTGGCTACCATGTATATACCGGTACCGACACCTGCTTACCTACCCAACGTACCTACCTATCTACGTCTGTATGTATATATATATATATATGGTATATATATATAAATATATATATATATATACCATATATATATATATGCATCTGGTAGTTCAGGCGAGCTAGCTACTAGCTGTACCTCCCTAGGACTGTGACTGCCCTGCCCATACTTATCTATATACCTTTAAACTACCGACTAGAACCTATACATCTATACCTATATACCAACCTTCTCTTATTTACCTGCATACATACACACATACATACATACATGCATACACACATACATACATGTGTATTCCAATGTGTTTTTTTAGTTGTCCTGCTCAAGACGGCTCCAGTCTGCTCATCACTACTACGGGTGATGTGCGAGCACTTGTTTAACTACAGGAGGATCTGCATCGTCACTGGCAGAGCCTGTCTTTGAGAGCTGTTTTTGATGCCCAAACAAGGCCATGTTGCTTATACGTTTCAATGCTTGATAAAAATCATGCAAAAAGCAAGATCGCGGCCGTTTAAGTCACATATGGTCCATCAGGTTATTCATACTAAAAATACGATCCTTAATATCATGATTCTTCTTCTTGTGAATATTCTGAGTAGTAGTAATATTCTGAATAGTAGTAGTAGTAGTAGTAGTAGTAGCAGCAGCAGCAGCAGCAGTTGTAGTAACAGAATTCCTTCAGGCCCCCATGTCCATCTCGGTTTCGGGGTGTCGGAGTAATGGATTCAACTCCAAGCTTAATGTAGGGACCTAAATCATTATCAGAACAGGGTTAGGGGGGCTCCTGGTTATAAGTATAGTATGTTAAAGGCCAAAACCCTATTCTTTTTGCAAACGTAGTATGTTAAAGGCCAAAACCCTATTCTTTTTATAAGTATAGTATGTTAAAGGCGAAAACCCTATTCTAGTTATTCAGGCCCCTACATTCGATCAGAGCTTTAGGTGCTGCTTTCCCGCACACTTCCGGCCCTTCCCAGCCGTACAGTGGATGACATCCGACCCAGCGGATTTGCCAAGAGCCTGCTCCCGACAGCTCGTCACTGCAATCTCGTTAGGTTAGGGTTTAGGGTTTAGGGGTTTAGGGTTTAGGGGCGCTGATCTTTTCAGCATCTTCCGGCACGGCCGTGAGGGCTTGCTCCCTGCTGCCAGGGCCATGCCAGCATCTGAAGGGGAACTCTCTCTCTCTCCGCGGACCCCAGCGTGGACTTTATTCTCTCCGGGGCTCCGCACATAAACGCAGGTAGCAGAGAAGAGGCCCAGCATGACCCGACCACTTCTCATCCACTTCAGCGATGCTTCAGCGAGCCGACGTGGCCACCTGCATACAAGCCTGCTTTCAGCTGCTAAGCTCAGGGCTCTTATTTAGGGCCCTTTCGGGTGCTTTCCCGCGAAACTAAATTCTCCCCGTAACCCTAAACCCTAAACCCCCGGAACCGGCGAGCGTTCCTGCCTTAGCCGAGAACTTGCAGCAAACAGGCAGTCCTTAAGGGTCCATGTACCCATACAGCATATACATGGGCCTTAAAGTACTTATATAGGGACTACAATAAGGCCAATGTATTTACTATATGAGTACATGGACCCTTAGGCAGTTCAAAACAGAAGAACGGCGGAGGCTGCGGCCAGCTCCCCAGGAAATATCTTACGGTACAAGCCACAGTGTAAACTCTTTAGGGTTTGGGGTTTAGGGTTTTAGGGTTTAGGGTTTAGGGTTTAGGATTTATGGTTTAGGGTTTGGGGAACAGCCCACCATATAGTCAAGTGGGCTTCCCCCCAAAAAACCCTTCAGACTCGAATTCTTTACAAGGAGCCTTGAATAAGATGGTGCTGCTACCAGCCTATTTTACAGAAACCCCCCTAAACCCCAAACCCTAAGCCGAGGTATGCCAGGGCTTCAGCACAATTCTTGAATATAGGGCCTTGATAATTACAACTGGATTTTGTTTTGGCAAAAATATCTCAGTGTGAATATACATCAAGGATCCTGGGAGATGATATTGGTAATGGCTCAGGGCTTCTATATGATCAGAGAGTCCATGTTGAGCTAGTGGGGAGCACACGCAGCACGTTTTCAAAATGCTGACGCTGCATCGAGGCTCCTGTCAACCCGAGAACACTTGATCCGGCAAGCAAAACTACGGGGTTTAGTGCCTAAGCCCTAAACCCTAAACCGGTTTAGGGTTTAGGGGCTTAGGGTTTAGGGTTTTGGCTCAGTGTTTAGGGAGCAAAGGTTTCTAGAGTTTAGGGCAACTGGTAAAGAAGCGAAGCCCCTAAACTATAAGCTCACGCGCTACACCCTAATTCTTCACGTTTTCGGGCAAGAGCCTCGGACAGCGAATTGAGGTCCTATTTCATGATATAAGAAATGGCACAGGTCCTGGCTTCAGCCTGTTTAGGGGTTTACGAGTTTAGGCTTTTAGGGTTTAGGGGACTTCTTTCGAGTAGCTTAGAAAGGCACTTGGTATTTAATCGTTTCCATGCGGTTCTGTCTAGTTGAGATACAAAAGTTGCTAAAAGAGCTCGTGGCTTGTAATCGTACCTAAACCCTAAACCCTAAAACCCCTAAAACCCTAAACCCAAAGTTCCAGAAGCCTAGCGGACGGGATCCTCTCGGAGGCCTTTCCAAGTTATTTGCGCTAAGGTTTAGGGTCAATGGTTAAGGGTTTGGGGTTTAGGGGTTTAGGGTTTCGGGCTTCGGGTTTAAGGCCATCCGTAAGTTCGGAGACTATGCTATGCAGGAACTACAGAGCTACTTTTCAAGAGAGGGCGAATGTGCAGACCGAAGCCAGGAATGGAGTCAAGGGCGGCCCTGCCCTAAACGTGCATGATGACAGTTGAAACTCCGAGACTCCAACATCCCTGAACAAGGGCTTTAGGGTTTCAGGGTTCAGGGTTTAGGAGTTTAGGGGTTTAGGGTTTCAGGGTTGAGGGTTTCAGGGTTTAGGGTTTAGGACTTAGGGTCTAAGATTTCGGGTTTAGGTAAGTACACCCTGGCATTGCAGTCATTCGGGGCCTCGTGTGAAGGACCCCGCTATGGATGTATTCCGTTCGAAAGGGCTGTTGGAGTCTCTGGCAAACTCGTTGACTTCCTGACACTACCAGAAGAGCACAGGCAAATTTTGCCCCTGAGTGGTAGAAGACTTTACATTAACTTACCTGATGTTTGTACTACTACTACTACTACTACTACTACTACTACTGCTACTACTGTTACTTCATTGAGCCTAGCTGCAAAAGGGAGTGTGGGCCACGGTACCATCACCATGGAGCCAGCTGTGACAAGCAGCCTCGTCCATGGAAAGACGCTCCAATGGCTCTAGGGCAAGCAGCCCCTCTGCGAGCATTTTGAGCTCCTTGGAAAAGCACTGGTCGATAGTCTTCATGGGCTGTGTCTTCTTGATCTTCCTGGTCTTCCAAAATTTTCGGTGGCCATGGTCTAGTACCTGGGCTCCCACTATCCCGTCCCTCTTTCCATCTCTTTCCTATTGTTTTTCGAATTGATAATACAGAAACTCCAAGAACGAAAGCGCAAAAGGGAACTACTGCGGGACCTAGTTACATAATCAAAACACTTGCATCGACCCTTTATAGTCGACATCCAAGGGTAGGTCCGCGCAGCAGCCGAGAAGAGCACCACGCCCACGCTGAAGCAATCTACCATAAAGGGGTCGTACAAGGGCCTTACTTCCCAACACGCCACAGAAATACAAAGGTTTAACTTTCGGACTAGCTACTTCTACACTACAAGAACTCAACCATTTCAAAAGGTTGAGTCTTGGATAACTAAGTTGTGGAACCCGTTCAGAACCCTTCCAGTATAGATCCCATCTACAAAGGTGTATGTATATATATATATATACATGGTCACCCCCCACCCCCCCATGACGGACCATGCCCTTCAAAACATCGCTCCCACCGGCGTGTTCGTGCTTTTTCCGGGGTATCGAGTTTGAGCCCTCCGAACGTCTCTGTGAAGAACCACCCGAAGAACGAAACCAAAAAAACAAAAAACAAAGCTCCACGAAGAGTGCTGGAACAGTTTTGTTTTTTTGCTTCTTTGTTGTTTTTGTTTTTTTGGGTTTTTGCTTTTTGGTTTTAGTGTGGAAAGAGTTATGTTTCGAAAAACCAAAAAAACACAAAACTAAAAACACAAAAACCGAAACTGTTCCAGCATTCTCCGTGGAGCTTTGTTTTTTTGGTTTTTGGTCCCAGGCTGCATTCTTGTGTCAGCCACGGCCTCTGTTTGGAACTAAGACTACTACATATACTAATACTAAAATAACCCTAATACCAAGACCCTTATCCCTACGACTATTGATATTCGTATTTGTATTGTTAGTTGTACAAGTCTGAAAGTTAGTATTAATAATATTGCTACTAGTGATATTAAACTGAATACAAATACTCCTACGAACACTANNCAGTGATACTAATATGCATACTAATATTTATGCTAATACTAGTTCTGATACGAAATTCAAGAGCAATACTAATACAAATATTCCTGCGAAAGCAAATCATCATATCCATACGAGTATTAACACTAATACTGTTATTAATACTAATGCCAATATTTATACTAATATTAATATGAATATGGCTACTACTACTCCTACAAATACTAATACGCATACTCTTATGGACTTATGGTTGTTAATAATAATACCATTGCCAATACTACTACTGACATTCATTCGTCGAGCATAGTAGTATTCATACGAATATTGACACCTATGTTAAGGCTAATACGGGTATGCATCATACCAACATAAATACTAACATTAATACTCCTGCGAATACCAATAACCATCTTCAGATTGATATTAATATGTATATTGACACCAATACCAGTACATACCTGCATATACTCATGTATATAAATATCCATATAAATATAATAAATTAAAAATAATATTAAATATACACTAAGGCATGCATGTATTAATATATTAGTCTTTTTCATATACCAATACACTAATGTACTACTGTGTTAATATACGAATATACTGATATACTAATGTCCTACTCTGTTAACATACTAATATACTAATAAACTACTATGCTGATATACTAATGTAGGGATATCTTAATATACAAGTATACTGATATATTTATAAGGTTAATATACTAATATAGTCGTATACAAGTATACTAATATACTCATGTACTAATGTACGAATACACTAACGAATTTATATACGAATATACTAACACACTAATATACCAACATACTACTGTATTCATGCACCAACGTACTAATTTATTCATATACTAATATACAACCCAGAGGGTCCGAGGACCCAAATAGCAAGGTTTTAGGCTCCAAAGTCCATACTCTGAGTGGTTTCTGGACCTTGAAACCCTAGTATTTGGGTACTTGGACCCTTAGGGCAAGTATACAAACATACAACTATGCTAATGTATGAATATACTGATATGCTAGTATGCTAAGTATGCTAACATACGAATATTGTTACCATATTGATATATCTGTAAGTTATGAGTTTAATATCCGGACAAAGTCGTATATAAACTTACTAGAATGCTAATATACTAATGTATTGAAAAACACCTTGCATTTCTGTACGATTATACCAACATACTCATTGACAAATATACTCATGTACTCATGCACCAATGTACCAATGTATTAATATACGAATATACAAGTATATAAGAATACTATACCAACATATTAATGTGTTGGTATTAGTAACGTACATAAACACACATACAACTATATTTAAATACAAGCATATTAACGCATTCATGTACCAATATGCTAACCAAACCAAAAACCCATATACCGATATACTAATAGATTCCTATGAAACCTATGAATATAGTAATATATTCATATACTAGTATACGGAATATACGAATACTGTAATATACAAATATTCTGGCATGTATTTATAAGTTATTAGATTCATATACTAGCATTGTCGTAGACAAACATACTAGTATATTGGTATATCAGTATACTAACATGCGAATATATGAAAACTGTAATATATAAGCATACTGATATGTTAATATATTACTATACCAACATATTGCTACATATTTATATACTGATAAACTACTATACAAATATAATCGTACATAAATATACCAGCATACCAATACACTAACGTACTAATATACTAATATACTAATATATTCATATACGAATATACCAATAGACAAATATATTCATATACTAATATACCAATATACTAATGTATTCATGCACCAATGTACTACTAGATTAATATACGAAAAAAGTACAGACACATGCTACTTCTAGACTAATATACTAATGCGCGGGTATATTAATTTGTTAATACACGAATTTATTGGTATACTAACATATCATAACTCGTTCTAGTATCAATACCAATACTAGTACTTCTGCGAATGTTAAAACTGAAATCAGAACCAGCATTAAGACTTACTAATACTAATATGCACGAACACGAACATGAACACTAACACTAATAGTAAATTCTACTTACCAATACTGATGTTAGTACGATTTTATTACTAATACTAAGACTAATACTGATACCAGACTAATACTAATACTAATACTAAGATCAATACTACCACAAAACTATTTCCTAGTATTAACACTGATACAAGAATTAAGACTACTACAAACAGAAATAGTGGTGCTAAGGTTAGAACTAAGCACAAGACTGAGTCAAGACCAGGACTAAGACTAAGACTAAGATTAGATTAGGACTAGGGGCTTTGCATGAACGTGTAGACATTTCCAAGGTTGCCAAACACCTTGAAAGTTGTCAACATGGCAAACAATCCAAGATTTTTAAAGAATTCCAGACAAATTCGAACATTTCCAAAAATCTATGCCCTGTCTGGCAGAGTCGGTCCGTAACATTGGGGGGAAGTTAAAAAAAATTGGAAACTCTGAAAGAAAGGGGGAAGGGAATTTTGGAAACTTTTGAAACTGTGGAAATGAGTTTGGGCGAGCTGATTGTCCCCATCCGTTGGCAATGATGGCTGGCGAGGGACACCGCCCTTCCCCTTCCCCACGACGGTCTGTC